ATTTTCAACAATGAAATAACTCTCCATCAATCATTGAACTTTAAATGATCAGCCTTTAAAATTAAATCTATTGTTCATGAAATATTCTCAAGACCTAAATGAGGAGTCCTGGGCGAACGCCTAGTGGGTAGTACGCCTCAGGTATGGTTTCTTCAGTGTACGCATACGCCTACTCGTTTCTGAATGATCCGCGACCCCGCGATGGCTGTGTATATGTGTGTGTTTGAGCGTGTGTGTGTGTGTATTCGTGTGAGTGTGTGTGTGTGAGAGAGAGAAAGAGAGAGGGAGAGAAAGAAAGAGAGAGAGAGAGAGAGAGAGAGAGAGAGCGTGAGCGTTCGCGCGCTACTGTGGGTGGGCGAATAAAGTGTATTATCATTGTCCTAGATTTGTGACAATATGGATTGTACTGTTTCCGATTAAATCCATTATTGCCCGTAAAATTCATACTGGAAGAGCAAACCGGATAGCTCGTACCTTGTCACATCGACTCAAAATAATTCAGTTTCTTTGCAGCTAAATTTGTTGCTGTTATTTTACAGTTTAGTGTTAAAAGTGTGGTAAAGTATTGAGGGAGATTTCAGAAGACACTCATAATGATAGTAATAACAATAATAATAATAATAATAATAATAATAATAACTAATTTATTTACACTGATATTGGCTTATATACAACTGTGCGTGCGGAAAAAGAATTTGAGGCGGCTCCCCATATTCGACATTCGCCGAGTAGCGAGCTATTGCTCGCCCAATCCCATGCAACAGATGTGCTCGGCGAGTGTTCGTTTCCTTTGATGTGTGCAAAAGACCGACGGTGGAGGGTAGGGCAAGCGGCGAATGATCTTCGCTCGGCACATTGCAAGCAATCTATCCATAGTAATCGGCATTCGCTTTTTCGCCGCACAGCGAATCTGTGGAGCTGCCTGTACATCGTTCATTTGTCCTATTAGTCTCCTCTCGGAAGTTAGCAACTGTCCGGCATAGCGTTCAGGAAGTCTGATCCATTCGATGCACCTGGAGAACGATTCTGTTTGCGCTCTTTGATGTTTGGAAGGATCTCCATTGAGATAATGTCATTACATAGTAGACCGTCATGTAGTTCTTGACATTAGGATTCTCATGGGGCCGTGGAATACATGTTCATTTGTTCATTTAAAAAGGGCTTTTGGTTTTTAATATTTTGTGCTGTGAAAGTGATATCTTGAAAATTGGATTGGATTTATAATTAAAGATTTGAATGGGGGAATATGGTTATGGTAATATTTTACTAAAATGATTTCGGAATATATTACTTGTAGGAAATAGGTATCAATGAAAAGTGTACTATGGATGATAATAATGAAAATATTATTATTATATATTATTATTATATTAATAATAATAATAATGGTAAAAATTAATACACATCAAATATCTATTTATTAGAAAATGTGGAGTAAATGAGCGAGTTCTCACCTCTACCTGTAGCCTCGAAGCCACTCGTAACGTAAATTCGCCAGTGCACGTACTTCGTGTCATTTACACTAGCACTTCCATTTTTAAATCTCTTTGTAAATCTTAATGATCGAGCCGAAAGTGTTATACGCTACCATTTCTTATGTTATATATATATAGTATATATATATAATATATATATATATATATAGAATTAGGCGATCAAAACTCTACATCTAAAGTTGTCAACGAATGGAAAAATCTGTATGACTGTTGTGCCAAATAATTCAATTTACTTTTGGCCGAGATTCTAAAACAAGGATTATAATTTTATTGTGGTAAGGATCGTGTTTTTGGTATATTTCTGCCCGCTCAATATATCCAAATATATGCTCTTGTTTTCATTGTTTAAGAATCAAAGAATAATTTTCGGAAGTTAAGCACAAAAGCAATGTTATTCTACTCAGGCCTATGATAATGTGCGTAGAATGAAATATAAATTCACTTGCACTCATCAACTTAAACTCATTTAAGTAATAATTTCACGGCAGGAAATTAACTACTGCAGACCAATGGAATGTGTAATGACACTTCAACTGATGAGTTAGAAGCCTCCAGAAAGACTCTCATTGTAACATGATCGTGCTTATCTTACTGCTTATTGTAATCTGTGTTACTGCGGTTACTATTATTCTTTGCGTAAAAACGCAAAAGTAGGAGTGCTTGTGGACCATGTAATTCGCGTTACGTTTAGATGAAACTCTGCTATTTTATTCGTGATTTCTCTGGCAAAGATGGATACTGCAGTGCTTTGGCAGTGACATCGTAGGTTTCGAGTCCCGACGGTGGCAGGATTTTCGACACTATTTGGGCAGCTAGGGCGAATTCAGCCGCAGTCTGGAGGAGAATTCTAGCGGTTGGCTACTCTGATCGGTAGTTTTCCGTGGTTTCCCTTCAGCTTCAGGTGATTGCCGGAGCAGTACCCTATCAAACGGGCACGGATCGAGCACGATCTTTCCTTCCTCTGCCTTGTCCTATCAATACCCCTTAGGGACGGTTTCACCAACAGCCGAGTAAAGTTGAGAGTAATTACCTGAGAGTAACAATTTACTCTAAGACCTGAGAGTAACAATTTACTCTTGAGTAGAATATGAGCGTTTCACCATGCTTCGAGAGGGTTATTTTACTCTAGAGTACATACTCTCCGATTTACTCCGCAAATCAGCTGAACACACTATATTTGAGAGCGATTCAAGAGGCTGTGAGCGAGAATGACGCTGGGAACCAATGCGGACAAACGCGAACCTTTGATTAATTACTTATATTCTATCATTCATTTCAGTTTCGGAGTTCTTGGCATTCTATAATCTGATGTGGTGTTATGGTGGTTTGAGTTAGCATAGTTTATTACCTAGTTTCGAGTCACGAGATCTGTATCTTTATTTCTTAATAAATATTCATTCTTCTTCTCTGGAGACGAGTTACTATTGTTTTAGCAATGCAGAAAAATCAAATTTGCAGTTCGTTTACCGATGTCGGTGCCAATGAATTTTCTATAACTAGGGAACTAAAATGTTTAGTTTTTCAAATGTTGCTGATAGTTTTCTAAATTTTATTATTTGTTGTTTTATTTTTTAAACTTGTATTCACCTTTCAACTATTTGTAGTTAAAATGTTGGAAAGGGATTCTGGAACTCAAGAAAACGTGCCCAAATGATCTCCCCTATACGTCACATACAGTTTTTACTGAATAAATAAATGAATATTTCTTAGAACTTGTAGTCCCTGTAGTTATTATTTTTCCTTTTGTTATTGTATTCGGTACGTACTACCTTTATTTCGTACCCACATGGGAGAAAAAGAACTTTAGAAGTTCTCTACAGTTTACAATGTATCTGACGAAGTTAAAAAGCTGATTTGGTCAAACATAACCTCATGACAAAATCTCGATCGTCATAATTAAAGCCAATCCACTCTCTCTCGCACCCTTTGTCTTCGCACTAGTGGATAATATTCCGAATCATTGCTGGAATCGTCTTCAAATACTATCATTCCTAATTGTCTAGCCGTAACAACACTTCGGAGGTACATGCACGTTGAAAACTGAATTTACGCCGTACTTTACCCGACGGATTTTCGCAGTGTAAAGTTACTGTCGAATTTATTCTCGTGTAAGCGACTTACACTCGAGTAAAGTGTTGGTGAAACGCTCCAAGAAGTTACTCTCAGTAAACATGATTTACTCCGGAGTATACTCTTACTCTTTGTTTGGTGAAACCGGCCCTTACTTATACACACTTACACTCATAAGCGCTTCACTTGTCGGGAGACCGGTCGGGAGCTTAGAGCTTGTCTCGGCTGGGGCGGTGCACCTGGTGGGAGATACTTGGTTGGGGGAAAATCCTCGCAAGCCGACGCAGATCAGCGCTGGATCTTGCCAGCTAGCGAGGGAAAATCACTACCTCCTCTCGCAGTGAAAACATGCATCACACTCATGGGACTAATGACCTTATGTGTTGACGCGCCTGGAACCACTAACCAATGAATCAATTATTAGTGATTTCCGGAGATAATATTATATTCTCGCTTATGAGTTTTAATTTTATTCTTTAAATGTGATTGGATTAGTATGCTCAGTGTGCTATTGCATTACTTCTAAAAGCACTAGACCGATAGGAATGTTAAGAATTATCAAAAAAATAGCCTGCTTCTTTGTCATATTTCAAACCGTTTTAACGACTCGTCAGCATCTCTGAACAGTAACGAAACTTTGCTGGGTTTTTGATGGGGAAAGAACGAAAGTCATTGATTTCAAAGCGCGCCAATTTCATGAAATATCTTGAAACAGAAAATTATAACATGAAAATGTAATCGTTTTCATTTGATTCATCCCAACCCATAGTTTATTAACTCTGTCCATCCCAATGAGACTGATAGCTTAAAATATACGAATTTGAAATTGCCCCATTGTATTTGAATGGATAAACGTGGCTGATAAGCTTCTGATCTTCTACCACAAAAAAAAACAACAACAAAAAACATCAACATGCTGACCGACTTTTCGGTCAATAACTTCTTACGAAATCAATGGCGATATTACGGTCACAGTAAACGCCCACATCGCAACAGCCAAAATATATAAATGGAAACTAGCTTTAACAGAGAATTTGACAACTTCTTAAAAACATTTAATCAGATGACAAAAATCTCAATAGATGAATTTTTATGTAAAGTTCCAAACGAAAAGCCTCAAACTGAAAAATATTGCGACTTTTCTGAATAAATTTAAATGCTGATTGCGTCGTGTATCACTCCAATTCTTATCCTAAGTACGCAGTTGAAATTTTATTTTACTTTGGCTTCAACGTCCCCGTTAGGACGTTATTATATCACGATATTAGAAAATGTTTCTTTAGTTTGAAAAAACAAAAACAAAACAAAAAAGTGTTTATTTATCATACTATTAAATAAAACATTTTTATTGCAAAAATATATTAAATTAAACAAATATTGTAGGCAAAAATGCATTACATTTTATCTAGTTCACATATTATTCGAAAATTGCTAATGGCTAAAACGCGACGGAAACTTACTAACCCATTCACTGCGCTGAAAGAATGGGATAATTGTTGGGTATGAGATACATCCGTGATATCGCATTCTGCTTGAAGAAAAACCTCGTCTTCAAAACGTTATTGTCGGAGCACTTCTCAGAAAGATTTGATGCTCCCTTTCTTAAAAGAAAGCCTCTGTTTCTTTGGCACGCGGTCATAACCCCTGCCCTCTCCTCTTCCGCTCTGATAATGGACACACAGCATTTGTCAATAGGCCTGACAAAACACGCCCGAAAGTAGACTTTGGACTCTTGTTAGGTAGCAGACTTGCCTCGGAGGGAGCAGTATCTCTGGGCTAACAGACGAAATAACAGACTGAGTGAGAATCAAGCGACTAGAAATTGATTTACATTCCTTTATGAAATTAGGATCCAATCGAGTGGCAAAACGGAGCGATGCAAATTGGAACAGAAAATGAAAACAGAGAGGAAAGGAATCTTATACTCACAGAACATGTCTGGATAAGTCTGTGATGAAACGTGTGTATACATGGAAAAGGTATCAATTTGCGATCGCTCTTTCCAATGATGGAGTGGTTGTCGAGGGGATGGTCAATTAGAAAGTATTGGAATTTTTGAATATTGATAAACATTTATTTGACTCATGGAGCCTATGAAGGTCGTGGCGTGTGTGTGACAAACATATCAAATACGTTAGGGGTTGTAAAACTGTTACACCTTGGTGTAAGCGGTGGGCATGCAGGAGGTATATATATATATATATATATATATATATATATATATATATATATATATATATATATATATATATATACAGGTTGTCCGGAGAGGAAACGTTGAAACTTCGAAAATAATCTCTTAAGACAATTTTATATATATTTTGTCTATTAACTACTGGAATATTGCAAATGGTTATGCCGCAATAAGCCCTCAAAAGTTGGTTTGAAAAAATGTTTTCGAGGTAAGAATTTGCATTGCAGATGCATAGAAACACTTCGGAAATATGTAAATTGTTATTACTTGCAAAATAAATTAATAAATATCTTCAGAAAGAAACATTAACACAAATAAATAATCGCCAAATTTATACAATTCAACAGCTTTTTTATTTCAGAGTTATTTTTTCTGTCTGAACAATTATATTCATTTATTTTGAAACTAATAAACAATTTACATGTTTCTGGAGTGTTTCTGCAATGCTAATTTTTGCTTTGAAAGCATACTTTCAAACCAACTTTTGAGCGCTTGTAGCGGCTTTGTCATTCGAAATATTCAAGTAGATTATTAGACAAAATATTCTTTTAATTGTTTGAAGAGCTTATTTTCGAGGTTACGTTTCTTCCCCGCACACTCTGTACATACAACTTTAATGAAACGACTTGAAGATTTCAGCCAAGTAACTGAAATGTCCGAGTATAATAAGGATTTTTAAATTTGCCAGAAATTGAAACCCCAATTACGCTTGCATATCAGACTCACGACCAGGAAATAATTTTGTATGTCCGAATATGATAATCTTGCGGTATTAGTTAAATAGAAAATCGCATGTCGAAGAACCAAACAGGAAAATATCCAGATTAAATAAAAATAAATTTAGTCAAATAATATAGAAACCTCATTTAGGGCATTTATCTCAAGAGAATCTTAACATTTCAGTCATGTGTCAGTGTTTAAAGAGTTTCAAGATCATTTGGGACAGAGAAATACTTGTTTTCATTCATGAATGTTGCCGACCACAGTCAAAATCAAATTAATGAAATAAAGCTCACGAACCTTTCTGTAACACAAAACGTGATGTTAAACTTCCTATGTTTTTAATATACTGTAATTTTTGGCACCAATTTGACAAATATCTTAATTATTAAATGAACTACTGACAATTAATTTCATTGACTTACATCCTTATACTCGCACTTAATGGTTATTGGAGTAGTCGATGTTAAAAATGCATTTACAAGTGTTTTAGTCGTGAATCAATTACAGTTGAAGATTTCTTCTTTCTTCTTTCCGTACCCCTCCTCTTTCTTTTGTATTTTCGCTTGAAAACCTGAAATGTTTGTAATTTTTCCTAATTCCCTCTCTGTTTTCCTGGCCTTGTGTGTTAATTTTGTGTATTATTCACATGATAATTTTAGGAAAATATGACAATACTTCAGCATTTGCCGAAACATAGTATTGTAGAACATAGATTGTAGTTTCTTTACAAAAAAAAAATTGTAACAAGCACTACAGTTGCAAACGCTTCCATTTCCTTTCATATTTTGATCTGTCGTATGATTTATTTTGACAGGTGTGCGATAACTGTGATCCGTACAGCGAAGACAAGAAGCACCCTCCGGAGTTCGCCATTGACGGGGCGGAGACATGGTGGCAGAGCCCTCCATTGTCCCGGGGGATGAGCTACAACGAAGTGAATCTCACAATAGACCTCGGCCAGGTAAGTCTCTCCTTTTGTTTTACACTCCTTTTATGCTTATGCTTTTGTTCTTTGTCGATCTAATTCAGTAGTTTTTGCGCGCTATGAAAATGCCCTTTGCAATTCTCTCTTTCAAAAGAATTTTGTCAGTCGTATTTTTGACGCCTGCACGTAAATAATTAGCTGCCTCATAGTTTCGTCTCTGAAGACGATAGAAAGCGGTGTTTCACCCCTACCTTTCATTGTGGGAATCGGGTTACATGTCATGTTATTTCAGTACTTGAGAACATCAAGACTCTCTTGCTTATGGAGACGATTGTTTAACATATTCGTGTTTGAGAAATAAATTTTATTTTGGATTTTTTAGTTCAGAAAAAAATACTCTTTCAAAAATAATTCATTTTCGACTCGTGGGATGTATGAAACGTCTTCTGTCGAACGTCATCGCCTAGTCCGAGGTCAAACTCTAGGGGAAAAGACCGATAATGAATGAAAAGATATTCATGTCTCATCACAGGTCGACCTCAGAAATTTGGTTGAGGCTTGATACGTCCCAATGAATCATGAAAATTCCTTTTTCTATACCTCCGTTTGAGAATTGTATTCAAGCAATGAGAGTACAGTATTTTGTTGTATCCTGAATAGCAAAATTATATATGATAATTGTTCAGGTTAAAAAACCATTTTTGCACATATTTGTCGGATATTCTTAAATTTTAACTTGGTGTATTCGTTAAAATCCTTAAAGTGATGCTTCAGCATTAACGTGATTGTTTACAATTTTTCAATATCATGCAAAAACCTATTGAAGAGTTCCGAGTTCGGTAGCCGAGCGAAGGCGCAAAAGGGGATTATGCCTTCATGCTCTCCCCTTTCCTGGGCACAGTGGTGGTTTCCAATTGCCGCCTATTGCATGGAAATAATAGAAGGAATATTGTGTCCGTTTCGTACTTTAAATTTTGCATGTACTATTAAGTTGTAAAATAGATTCACAAGAGAAACCTATGAAATTAATACGAGAAGTTATCATACAATATACAATAACTCTGAGACGTTGCGAATAATTAGTCAAAGGCGAGCAAAAAAAAACAAACAACAAACAAAACTTGTTTCCGTACTCCTGACAAACGAAGCGAGGTAATCGGTGGTACCGCCAAGAGTCTCAATGTGTGAAGCCGACCGCGTCTTCGCCGAGGGCCTGGGCGGGGAGGGGCGGGGCTGAGGGTGAGGCGTCGCCTAGCGCCGTAGGGTGCTCCGCATTGTCCGCGCTAGGGGACACGCAGCCCGAACACACTTGAATGGGCCGGGCCGTGTCGCCTGCGCGCGCCTTTTGTCCGGGTGCGGACGGCCGCCGCTTTCTTCGCTTTGCCGCCCACGCTCCGGTCGCGAAATGCGGAGGCGAAACGGACTCGCGAGGACCGTAAGGGGAGTATGTTTGGAAATTCCTTCGTCCTGTGTGGGCGATGTATGCTCTTTCTTCCAATTCCTCCCTCCCAGTCACGAGTTAATTCGTTTTGGGGGGGAGTAGGATGTTGAAATAAGTGTGCACGCGCCCAAGAACGGGGGGGGGGGATCTTAACTACACAATGTGATCAAATGTATCCGGCCACGTGTCTGAAAGTAACTTAGCAGTTCGTGGCGCCCTCCATCGGTAATGCTGGAATTCAATAGGGTGTTGGCTCACCCTTAGCCTTGATGGCAGCTTGCATACTCGCAGGCATACTTTCAGTCAGGTACTGGAAGCTTTCTTGGGAATGGCAGCCCATTCTTCACGGAGTGCTGCACTGAGGAGATGTAGCGATGTAGTTGGTGAAGTCTGGCACGAAGTTTGGGTAGTTCCAAAACATCCACAGGTGTTCCACAGGTGTTCGATAAGATTCAAGTCAGGACTCTGTGCAGGCCAGTCCATTACAGGGATGTTATTGCCGTGTAACCACTCCGCCACAGGCCATGCAGTATGAACAGGTGCTCCATCATGTTGAAAGATGTAATAGCCATCCCCGAAATGCTTTTCGGTTGTGGGAAGCAGGGTGTTTAAAACATCAACGTAGGCCTGTGCTGTGATAGTGCCACTCAAAACACGGGGTGCAAGCCCCCTCCATGAAAAACACGACCACACCATAACATCATTCTGGAAGTGTCCGGATTCTTTTCATCACACAGTGTACTAAACTATCAGTTCATCATAAAACATTCCTTATATTAACTATCTATGTGGCCTTTTTGGGTCGGATCCGGCTTCTGTCAACCTCCTAGACCTGGGCTGTATTCCCAAGCCTGAGTCATGTTTTTATTTTTTATCCACGCCGGGGGTAAGGGCGACATGTGGTGTGCATGACGTATTCCCTTCACTCTATCTAGCGTGCATGGTCTGTCTGAGCTTTTCTTTCGTCAAACAGCCATAGAAACTGAAACGATTCAAATAGAAAGCTTAATCTTTTTTTGTTATTCCGGCCAGGAATCGAACCCGGGATTGCACTATGATTTGCAAGCCATTATTATGATTTACATTACTATTTATAATATATTTATACTACATATGAAAGTTAGTAATATTAGTTGTTGATATAGTGCTATTTGTATAGTGTATATTTAAGGGCATATATTCTTGATTCTAGGAAGTCAAAACGTTTTTGACTTGCTGGAATCTAGAATAAAATCTTCAACATTAACATTTTTTTTTAGAATTCTTTAGAACACTCACATATTCATCCACTTACATACTGCTATTTATACTTTTTCACACTGGAATTTCACCGTACGGCATCGTCTGATTTAAAAGCTCCTGTGACAGTATTGTGTCGTAGAGGCGCCTATATTTAAGAAGCGATATCCATGTCGATGTTTTCAAAATATCGATGTTTTATAAAAACGTAGACGTCGATTTATTGAAGCTGCAGGTAATAACATCGATGTTATGTGTCCGATATTTTGTTTTTTAATAAAAGAAGTACCATTACAACAAAACTTTCAAATATTATCCAATAGAAATTCTTTCAGAAAAAGAGGACTGAAGGGAAAAATAAACACTAGTGGCGCAGCTACAACCCATACACTCACACATCATTTCTAACGAAAATCAGAAAAATCATTTACTCTATATGAAAAAAAAATTAAAGAAAATATTTTGATAGGTTTTTGAAAATTATTTTTATAAATTGCATCACTTCAAGCAAAAATTACGCGATAACTACATTTTTAAAAAAAAAAATGTGAAAGACCTTTTTTTAAGATCTGATTTTTTAGAGCAGATTTTCTTTAAGAAAACAATATCTAACATCAGTATTGTACTTTTGCAGTGTTAACTTTTTGCAAGTTTGCCGGAAATAAGACTAGCACCTTCTTTTACCATCCTTTGATACATACGAGGAGGATTTTTAAAGAAGAAATGTGTGTTTTTGAGAAAATAATTGTTTAAAAATTGTACATGACTTTATATCAAGATCTGTCTTTGAACGACTGATTTCATTAAGGAAAAAAATCCTTACAAGATTGTAGTTGAAGGATGCCGCAGAAAAAGTGTTGAACTATAGTTTTCGAAATTTCAGAGATTTCAACGAAAATGAGGCCTGCCCCATTTTTAAGCATCCTTTACGCTATCCGAAGCAAAACTTTATCCCAAAAGTTTGAAGTCATTTTTGAAAAATTTTTTAAACTGTAGATGCTTCATGTAGAAAACCCACAAAATTAAAATATTTTAAACTTGACTCGAGTTCGTTCAGATCGATCGGAGAATAGCAATTTTTGAGCAAATCGTGTGAACGGTTTAGATGCTCACGTTGACCACAGACGGACGGACTAACAGACTGACGTTTTGCCGTCAATCGATTTTTCGTAATTAAGGACCCAGAAGACGTGATTTTAGACTACATAATGTCTTAGAGGTAATTTATTACATATATGAACAAATTTATACACTTTCTGATACCAATGCCGCACTATACGCCGATTTTTGCCGCAGTATCACAATACTTTCTTTGTACTACTTGCATAGTAAGGCGAATAAGAAATACGTTAAGAGGAGTTTTCATTGATAATTAAATTTTATATTTTAATTATCCAATTAAATTATTAAAGCAATTGTTCTGAACTTTTTTATCATCTTTTTTTAGTTATTTTTTTCAACGCTTTAGAAGCAGCCAATCATTGTTTTGTCAGTTAACAGGTTTATTAAACCTCAAAAAACGCTACCACTATCAAATTAAATCTCCTGGCGAACGTTACTTTGAGAGGTTACTAAACCAGTTTTAATACACTGGTGATTAATAAAAGGACGGATTTTGAACGGCTTTTTATTTACAGTAATGTTTTCATTTTGAACATCGATATTAGAAAACATCAATTTTTTGCTGATGATGTAGCTTCCGGGTCGACTCCGTTCCCAGACAATAATCCTCCTCCTGCAGCCCCCGCGTCCAGTTGCTAGCTAATCCTTGCCAAATCCCGAGGTGGCAAACCGAGGAATGGGTGTAGTGCTGTGGCTAGTTACTACAATCGTTTTCATTATACTTGACACATGGCATTGGTGTTTACTAGACTTGATATTTATGATATCGGCACATAATTAGGTCCAAAAAACTCCTTGGATTTTGTTCGCGTAGATCTCAGTGTTCGTACGAATGTACAATGGCATCGCCTTAGATTCCACGTACACTACATTCTTTTAACGACTAAACAATCGTGCTTGTGTTGTTTGTGGCGCGTAAGGAGTCTGCCTTTACACACACACACACGCGCGCGCACGTTCTAAACTACCGGCGGTAGTTTAGAGTATTTCCCGGCAGGGTGCCGTGTTGAGGGAGATACCTGGATGGGGAAACTCGCCGCACACCGTCTTTTAGGTCGACAGTCGACACCAGAACTTACGATCCAGTGGAGAAGGAACAGGAAGGATCTCGTGAGGTATTAACATTCACTTCATTAACGTGACCGGATATTTACCATAGTAGTTGACATGCTCGGAAGCATCAACCAATCAATTCAACTGTTCTATTCAGAACATTTATATTTATAACCATCCAGAGTGGAAAGGATTATTGGGATCTACGCGATTTTATTTGTGAGGAAGGCGCTCGTGAAAATGTATAAATTGTAGGGTTAACGCCATATACTTGAGAGCCGTGGGAGAGAACATAGCCCAAGATGCCCAACTTTAGTACTCGGAGATACGTTTATCGATTAATAAATAGTTCGGCGAATTTCTTGATTATCGATTTACATTAATCTTGAATGTTATTACTGACAGAAATAACAAAACACGAATAACAAAATGACTCATTCATATTCTTCACTTTGCACTTTCTTGCATACTATTTACGTGGTATAGAAAAAGTAGTGTAATGCTGCGGCAAAAAGAAACTGCGATTTTTCTACAGAAAGATCCCTATTGTGGGGACCTGATGCCGGAAAAGCGTATAAAAATAGTTCCTCTATGTAGTGCATTATTTCTTTAACACGTTGGGTAGTTAGAATCCACGTTTTGTGGGTCTTTGATACCGAAATATTGGTTTATACGGCAAAAGCCGTTTCCCTATTTGTTTGTTCATG